AGAGGCCCCCGAAGGTGAGCGGAGGGTCGCGGGGGCTCAGACACTCAGCCAGACGCTCACCGTGAGAACGTGCACGGCGGCCAAACCCGGAGAAACCCGGCGAAATAAGTTACATTTTCAACTGGATCACCAGTGCTTGGATTCGGACGTTTTCAAAGTTGATTTTCCCCGCAGGAAAAGCCAATGCGCTGAGCGAAAATCAGCACTGCAAAAAAAAAACACATTGGATCTTCAGAGATGGAGAAAAACTTAAGGTAATTTGAATCTCTAGAGGTGAAAAATCCGAAGTTCAGTAAAAGTCGGCGTAAATCTAAAGAGAAAAATGTAAGTGGAAGCTTTTTTTCGGTCAGGAAAAATCATTGAATTCGGAAATTAGGTATTTCTTTCGCACTGGAAAAAAAAACACATTGGATCTAGAGTCCAGGCTCTTGAAAAAATTGACGAGAAAAAATACTCTTGATTCAATCGGACTTTTGCTTGAATCAAAACGAAATCCGCTTAAATTAAGAGGCTGGGTTCTTGATTTAAGCTAGATTCTGATTGATCAAGCGTACTTTTTCTTGTCGATGTTTTTAAGAGTCTGGACTCTAGATCCAATGTGTTTTTTTTTTTTTTTCCAGTGAGAAGTAAAATCTGATAAACTCGCTTCAATCTACATAGCGATGGCTGACGAACAACAAATGAATTTGAATGATTTGAAATAAAATAATTAAGTAAGGTTAGGTAAAGGAAAACTTTATGAATTGGTGCTTTTTTGCATGACAACCTTCCCACAGTCATTTCATTCATGGTTGCCAAGATTCTCTTCCCCGATCGCGGATAAGCGAGTCACGGAGTCGCGGATAGCGGGGTAATGCCGCAAAAATTCGATCGCGGATAAGCGAATCCGCGGATGGCGGGGCCGCGGATACGGTATTACAGTACTACCTATCTGCAAACCGACGATTGTGCAGAGCGAAGAGATAACTTCGTCATTTTTGTACTTTTAAGTTTAGACTTGCATTTTTTCAAACATTACAGCGTCATTGAAGCGCTCCGCTACAAAATTGGGAAAAAACTACAATCATCACCTTGCGTATTTCATACTGCAGAATGTGGCAAAGTCGCTGACTCTTTTTTGCCGAAATCGTTAGTTAGACGGTATTGTTCGTTAGCTCTCGATAGGTAATTTGAAATTTTTGTGGAATTATCGTGGTACGCCCCGGTTTCTTGGAGCTGTCAATTTTTTTTGAGTTTATGGTTTATTGATCTTCTGTACATAGAAATCACATCATATAATAGAAATTACAATAAGTCAAAGTGGCGGGTAATATTTCGCATCGATTCAGTTAAAAATCTTTGCAGATTTTGAAATTATAGCCAGAAACAGACGACGGAATAATTGTCAACAAAAAAAAATTGCAAAATTCTGAGAGACAGAAGCAGGATTCTTTTTGAAAAAAGACGTTGCATTTAATACACCAATCGACCCCCGTCTCAAACATGACGTATTTTTCTAAGGAGGGTCCTGCTTTCACTTCTCGGAATTTTGCAAATTTTTTACTCGAAAATGATACCGTCGGCTCATACACCGAGGCCAGGGGCTATCGTCCTTTTTTGGCTAAAGGTCAAAATCTACCGCGATGTTTTACTTAATCGAAGAATTAAAAAAAAAAAAAAAAAAAGAATAATAAAGATAGAGGGAGTGGGGGACCCAAAGGCTAGAGGAGATAATAGGAGGATTTTTGCGTGAATTATGACAACATTGGGACAGGGTATGGGGTCGGGTAAAATAATCCCGCATTTCGCGCGCGTGAGCGATGAACCTAAGGAGTTGGCGCTCAAATCGAAGCTGTCCATGAGGCAGTTTTAATGTTCGCGGTGACCCTATTCTCTTCTCTAGAGCCCAAGAAAATTATATTTCCCGCCCTTTGAATCGGGCAAATCTGCGGAAACCCGTGATCGAATCGTCGAGATTTTGTGCGGCTATTGCAGATTAAACTATCCTCCTACTATACGAGGAGATGAGGTGTTGTGTTGTGACGAGGAGATGGAAGAGAGGAGGGTCAGAGTATCTGATGACCCATAGCTTGTGTTTCCTTCTCACCTCCATCAGTGGCGTGGCGTGCTTTGCGATATATCGATTTAAACCTAATGCTCCCTGCCATTTAAACCTATGGAAATGGATCGATCAACAGGGTGTTCGCAACGAACACCTTAGAAATCGATTCTTTACCGTAGCTTCAAATGGGGAAATATCAATCATCGATCACTCACGCCTCGCCACTGACCTCCATCTATCAGCCCTCGTTCTTCCTAGCGTCGTTTCTTGCCTAAGATTTTGAGTGCCTCGGACCTCATGAGGAGGGGTTAAAATCCGATTTTTGGCCCACCAAAAGTGTCTCATCCTTTTTTCTACTCCTTCCGCTCTGCCTCTGGATTCACCGAATTTTAATTGGATATGACCTCTAACTATTCCGTACTCGTAAAGTGTTTATCGAACGCAATAGGTCTTTCCCAACTGAAACGCCCAAACGCGCGACCTGCAGAGGTTCCAACTTCTGATAGGCAGCAGAGAAAAGAAGGCTGTTATGGATATTTTTCCTCAAAATATTCAGATTTTTCAGTTTAAATTGCGATTATGATTCTTCGAAAATATCGAAGAAGAATATTTACAACCTTCCCGAAAAAAAATCTTAAATTACTTAAAGAAATTTGACAACGCCAGTAAGCACTTACGACGTTCACTTTTAGCACGGTAATATTCTCCTATCGGATGTCTGCCGAGATGGGGAGATTGTTTGGGCGCGAAACTGAAGCTCCAGGAATCGAACGTAGCTTGGCCCGAGGGATTTCAATTAGCCTAGACGGAATGGGAGGGGAAGGCAGCTTCAGGGGTGAAGGGTCGACCCACGCTGGAGTCTGCCCTAGCGGCATGCGGCAATGATCGGGCGCGCATATCCAGGGACCTCACTTCCACCGGAAGTAGGACGCAAGTGCATCTGTCCGTGACCCTCTCACACGATGACGTGTCCGGCACGCTCAGCTGACTTCACCACCAACCATCCACCTTCATCCTCCAGCCTTTTCGTCCGAGTCAAAGAATACGATCACCGAGTCATGAAGTGCAAGGGGAGGGGGGTGACAGGGTTCGGAAGTGCTTCGCGCCATTTCTTAAGAGGCAGCTTCGTGGGCGGCACTAGGAACTTTCTGTGGAGGGGGCCATCCCAGAAAGACACTTCAGCGAGAAAGATCTGGGGGACTCCATTAGCACCGGAGGGGGAACTGGACGGACTTCCTTAGCACCAACGAGGGTCCAGGGGCCCTCGATACAATCTCGAAAAGTTGAGCCAACTCAGAAAATATCTTAACCTTTTTCTCACCAAAAATGTGATTGAAATTCAATCTCAAAGACTCGAAGTCTTCAAATTTTGTAAAATCCATCAAATTTCCTGGAGGAGTCCAAGTAACTTTCGGGGGGGGGAGGGGGGAGGTTGAGCAGGCCTCCTCCGGCACCCCTAGTTCCTCCATGGGCAGTCCTTGAGGAGGGGAGGTTTGAAAGCTGTCAATCAATTCACGAGGCCGGGATGGCATAAAATTTAAGAAAGAAATGAAAGATTGGAAATTTCAGTGAAATATTTCATGAAATTTCACGAGGCTCTGAAATATTTCATATTTTTTAGGGGCTGGAGTATGCAACCCGCACTCAACTCAAAAATAGAAGAAAGTCTCAATTTTAAAATTTCGCGAAACATGAAAAGAACTCCGTATTTTTCTATATCTTTCACAAATTTCTGAAATTTCATGAAATATTTTACAAGAAATTACAAGATTTTAATTTAATAAAATTTTGCCACCCTGCACGAGGCTTTGAATTTAAACTATAATAAATGTCTGTATCAAGTTCTTTGGAATACATTGTTTTATTTAAAAAGAATTTACGCACTTGTCGTGAAACATCAGACAGTGCGCGGTTATTCTGTCAGGGATGGCAGTTTGTTTGTACTATCTACAGGGATGGGGGGGGGCGGGGGGCTTTTACAAGGTGGATTATTCTCTCAGAAAAGTTTGATCCTCAAGGAAAAAATAAAACCTGGAAAAATTTACCTCGGAATGATATATAAAAAAGAAATTTAAAGTCACTCTCCTATCACCATTTCCAATCAATAATTTGGTCTCCTTAATCTCATTTATAATTAGGAAAATTTTTCGCCAATGTGGTCTGGATCAATATTGAAGAGAGAAACACTCAAATAAGCGGAAATGTCGGAAGCCGCAGGAAAAAGACTCGATTGTGGAACTTAAAAAATATATTGCAGAAAATACGAGGTTCCGTTCCCCCCTCGCCCGGTGAGCGGACGAGAAAAGCGAGAGCGCAAATTTGAATCGGTGGGATTGCGCGCTGTAGGGAAAGTCGGTGGTTGGCCATTGGTTTCCCGCTAGCGCATGCTTGCCAGCGCATTTCCAGACGTCAAAAATCAGCTGTAAGCCAGCTGTTCGTATTTACTACGGCTTATTTGACCAATCACAGCCCGTCTTCCCTTCCTCTCCTCTGCCGCGCCTCCATCGGCTCTCCCCACCACCATTTCATTCATTCCTTGTGTTTTCTTGCCCGGGTTGTGTACAAATGATAGCACCTCTGTTTCCATTGTTTTAAATCATTTTAGGCGTTTTAATCGTTTGAATAATTATAAATCGTGCAGTGAAACAGATCTTCTGATAATTTCGTTTACTCTGGAATAATTTGTGTCGATTTCAAGAACATATTTGAGGATAATTCGGATTGTAAACAGTGGATTCCCGCCAACGCATTTTATTCTCGGAAGCAGTTCGTAGGAATGGGAGAATTCACGGATTAAAGTCATCAAATCGATTTGTAAGTTTGATAATATGTCTTTCATTCAATTCATCACACATTTTTCTTTTCATAATGTGTTAATTCCATCAATACATGCCTCTGTTGTGCCGTCCAAATTGCTTCGTGCATGACCTGTGTTTCGGCTTCCTAACCTCTCCATTTTCTATCAATTTCAGCTTCATTTCGTGTGTTTCCACTGAACTTTGAGTGTTTCTTTGTGTGTCAAAGCATCTTACATTTATGAATTTTATTTCGAGTGATTTCACAGTTTGAAATATCTTCGCGACCCCTGTGTTTCGCGGAATCCCGTTTGGCGCCAATGGGGTGGTAGCTCATCTTTAGAATTCCATTTTAACACTAGATTATTCCCACCAAACTCGTTTAATAGTTTTATTGTGTAGAGGAAGCATTTGAATTTTGATTTCAACCCCTATCGCGTTCATTTTCAGATCGCTTAATAAAAGTTTTTTTGTTCCTTTCGGTCGTACACGTCAACGATCAGCACCATCTTAGGCTGGCTACTTGGGGGTCCCAAGCTGAATCTCTGGCGCCTTTCCCGGAGAAGGATCTCCAAAGTCGAGCTTTCTTTGTTTCGTGGACTCATATTTTTAGTTACCATTCCGAAATTTGTCCAGTTACCTCTTAAAGTTCGCGATCGAAGTCAGTGAACTGCCGGTTTGAAAGTCGTTCGCCGGTTCATGTGTTGTAGTTCGAGGACATTCTTGTTGGAGTTCGTTACCCTTTATTCTCAAGGTAAGCATTTCTCCGGCGGCGAAGAAGTTCATTATTATTTGCCGTGCGGTTCGCAGTCGGCCTTGAATTTCGGTTTTTCGGTGTGATCTGATTCCTAATGTGCCTTCAACGTGAGTTTCATCCATCCCTTGGATTATACCTTTTCCATTCTTCTCACGATTTTTGCATAACCTTACTTATCTCTACCCATCAAGCTTATACCCATTTTGGGGCCCCTCGCTATTAATTTCAGTGAACGTGTCTAAGCACTGCCTTTGTTTAATACTTCATGTATCTGAAGATTTTCATTCATTCATGCTTGTCCTAAAATCTGCTGTCCTATGTCAAAGGCATTCTCTTTAAGGTAATGAGTGATGATGAAGCTAAGCACACTTTATTGAGCGCTTGGACCCATTTGATCCACCAGTGCTTATTTCTAAGGTCATACATTCTTAGGACTACCAATTAATGGTATTCTTGAATAAAGTAGCTCTGGTTCTATCCTGATTGTTGATAAGGGCAGATTCTATCAAGTCGTCAAGTTTTGTATTGCTACCCAATTATCGGTCGGTGGTATCATGGTCTGGTCTTGGCAAGTATTCGGATTATTATAAAATTGCTGCCTTATTCTATTTGCTTGTACCCTTCTGTTGTTGTCTCTCCATGCTGCCAAAGTAAGAGTGTTTTCTAGTCTGTTATATTTCTATTCAATGAGTATAGCTGATAGTAACTTTTTTGTTTCTCTCGTAATATTAAACTTGCCAGTGTTCATCTATATTAAGAAATCAGGCAAACCTACACCAGATGCACCTAGATACTGAAGGTATTCTGCTGATTTTACTATCTACTACTATTGTTTTAGCTATTTTTGCTGGAATTAGTATACATTAGGTGATTCTCAGCGGAGGTGCAGTAATCGGAAGTGCAACAGGTTGTAAAGGTTATATAATTTTGACGGGAGACTGTTTTGAAAGGCTGAACGCTTTCCTACGTTCAGATTGATCCAAATTGAAGGAGTTGGGGTCTGTACCGTTCCTTTTCTCAATTTCAGATCGTGTACACAGTGCAAATCTTTGTAAATAAGCAAATTTCAACCTTGTCAGATTTTCCTCAAAGCGCAGGGCTGTTCTTGTTTGAATTCATTGACATTCTTATAGTTGTCTTCATAACTAAGTTTAGTCAATTGCCTTCAAAGTTCCTTAGGTCCTATTGTATGGATTAGAAGCCATGAGTTACTTGTGACTTGAGTAATTGCCCAAATGTTTTTGTTAGCTTGTAAAGTAAGATAAACCTAACCTGCTTGATGGTGTGTCTCATTCGATAAAATCTCCTGACGTTGTACAATCCACCTCAAATGAATTATGGCTAATGATGACAATTTTCAGCAGATGATAGCATGCCTAAACTTGCGCAGGGTTTTAATTATGGGTAGTTTTATTTGGTGTGAAATGTAAACAAACAGCCTGCTAGAGAAAGCTTGTTTCGTGGAAACGCTATATCCATAATCTTGTTAAGACAAGTCTCTCAGATTGCCCTATGCTACCCAGCATAGTTGCTCATGCCACAACATGACAAGTAGGATATTGAATCAGAGACATCTTGAGTCATGCTGTTCATCATAGATTAATTGATACATTTGTAGGAACCAAGCGTAATCAAGGCAAGAGTGCTGAGGCCTCTGGCTCTCTGGACTCTTATCAAGATAGACCAGCCGATGAAGCTCTGCTGCATTTCACCCAAATGAGCAAATATAAACCAGCCGATGAAGCTCTGCAGCATTTTACTCTAAAAAGCAAACATAAACCAAGGAATTTTTGCTGTCTTCAGCCAGTGATTCTCACTAGCACTTTCACTAGAAGTATTCAATAATGAAAGAAATAATACGAAAAAAGTAGCTCAGTCGTCAATTAAAAGATGCTGTTCTAGACTGAACAGTTTTTGACGTAAAGTAATGAAGTTGCAAAGACACCTTGGCTAATGTGTACCTGGCTGCGGATCACAACTGAAGAGAACTTAGTCCTCAGAACTTTGCTCTGTTTGTTGAACTGACCGTTCTGGACAGAGTTAATTGGCAGCACAAATCGACTTGTATTTTGTTTTAATTTCAATACTTTCTTACTCCTGACTGAATACACCTCTCTCCTTTTGTTTCAGAGCCTGCTCAAACTTACCCCTATAATTAGAAGCTTATAGTTGACCATGCACCGACAAAGGTAATTAATACTCCATTTTTTAATAGTTTATTTTACTATTCCAGCAGGACTTCTCAAGGGGCCCCCTAAACTTGAAAAACCCACGTAGCGAGAGACTTCATGCTAATAAGGGGGGGGGGGCCCCACCAGAAAAAAGGGGCCCAGAAAACTTATCAGCACCCGAAGGATTTCTGAGCCAGACCGACACTGCTCCAGCTCACATAGTAATTGATGCAAATCAGAAGTACTTTTCCCTAGCATTTGCCCAAATAATTGAAGTGTTTGATGGTTTGGGATGTTGGTTGCACCTCAGTGGCAAAGTCTTTTGGGTTATGGAGAAAATGGAGAATTAAACACTTCTTATGGGGTAACTGTAGATTCCTTGGCTTTTTTGTTCTTGAAAACAGACAGAAAATTCCTTACCTTTTTTCCCTAAAATTCTGTGAGAGAGGTCTTTCATTTGAATAAAAATGACGTGTTTGTTTCATTTTTAGAGACTTTCTAGAGATTTCTAGGAGATTATCAGTTTATTCCCTCTAAATGGATATGTGATGAATCATTTTAATCCACAAGCGAGGCATTTTGATAAAGTCAACCTTTTACATTTCTGTAAATCAAGCTGCTTTGACAGTAATCATCTTGTTATTAATCAAGTTTTGGCTATTCTTTTCTGCTAGCCTCAAATCAAGTTTTGGCTATTCTTTTCTGCTAGCCTCATTCACATACCTTCCCATTTTAAGTGTGTTTTTCATCAATTCTTTGTAATTGTTACAGTTGTCAACTAACCAAAGCTGCATCTTTGAAGCGCAAACGACGGTCATCAGAAAATTTCAATGTAAGTTCTCATATTTTGCTAGCATCATTGATTTAATCCAATATTGATCTGGTTTTTCAACCGAAGCCGTACTCAAAAATAATCATGACACACTAGAACATGCTATCAGTGTGCTGCGATGAGAGCATTTAAATGTTTTCCTTAAAATCTTCGCCTGAGTGCCCACACTTCCTTGGAGGTATCCCCTTAAATTGATTCTTTCAGAAACCAAAGTAGCAAGGTTGCCAAGGTAATTAAGTAGCATTGAAAGAAATCAGAGTCGCTGACATTGTGTCCCTTCTTGTTGTCTCAACAATCATGGTCATTGATAAATGTTTAAGGTTGTGTGATCAAACTCCAAATCTGTGTCCTACAATTCACATGAGGTTCGAATTCAATTTTTTGTCTGTACACTAACGTGACAATATTATTCATGCTTAATCTTAAAAAAATGTCAGTTGATAGACTGTCTAGACTGGAAGTCAGATTCCCAGAGAAAGTTACTCTCTTGAAGAAGGAAGTGATTTGAAGATATTTTTGTTTAAAGTAGGTAATATAGTTTTTTTTGCTTGCCAAATTTTTGCTAACTTCTTCTTTTTTCATATTTTCAGAATATTGAGAATCAACCTGTACCTAGTCACCACGACAAAAAATTTAAAGATGAAGTAAGTTAACTTTTCTGGATTATCTGATCTCCCACAGGTCTTGGGGCAATAGATCATTGTCCTTCTGTAAAAAACCATTGTATAGATACAACTAGTGCCTTTCAAGTTCCTTCCTCCCTTTTTTCTTAAGGGATAGAAAATTATATCTTACCTAAACTTCATATTTTAAAATCTCAAGAGTATTTCCTTATGTGCATAGCGCTTCAGGGAGTTGAACTGCGAAGCAGTCAGGGAGCATAGTCCCCTAGTTACTATCAAAATCATTTTCATTCAGCCTCTTCCATTTGCAGCATCTGTTCATCTGTCAATTGGAAAAGTCTTACCAATCATCAATTTTCAAATCATTACCAGTCTATTTAGAACTTTTTTCATGGTCATTTGAATGTTTTCCTTGTTTGTTTTGAACTGCTCAAAACAGAGTATTATTTTTAATCGAAAGAGAGTCCAAGTGTTTCAATTCTGGCCGCAAAGTATGCGAGGGTAACCATCCTTCACCTATTCACCAAATTCTCAGTAGTTAGTCAGGTGTATTTGTTATTTGTGGGGAAAAGTACTCTCTCTGTGGGTATACCGGGTTGCATGCACATTGCAGGCTTTTTTATTTTTTATATTCCCGAAAATTCTAGGTTAGCCATCACGCGCCACTATCCTCTCAGGAAATGAGTGAATTTTAGAGATTAAATGAAGACTGTTCCAGATGTGATGTGCTTTCAATTGGGCTGTGTACCTTGCAATGTTCAGGTCAATTTTTGATTTTTGATCTCATCGTTTGGTCTTTGGAACCTACTGTTGAACTTGAGAACTCTTGTAAGATTCTTTTTGATGTCTGTTTGCTGATCGGATTTTGATTTTTCAGGACACAGACTGTGACTCTGATCACTCGGAAACCGGCAGCAGGCTGCCACTCTCTGAGATTTCGGTCTTAGCAGCCACATCAAAAGATCAAAGGTGCTTGTCTGCTGGCTCCACGGACAGTGAGCTTCCGAATGTGGATCGATTAAGCGTTTCTGACACCAGCCCAGAAAGTCCGGCTATCAGTCCAAGCGGACTCTTACCTAAAGACACCAGCTTACTGTCGGACTTCGGCCTGAGCCCTGGTGAGAGTGAGTCTCCTTCTCCGGTCAAGCCTTGCAGCAGTGGTTCCAAGTTAGTTTCAGCTTATGGACAACTGACCCCTTCAGACTCGCAGGTTGAGCAAAGTGAATGGAACAGGTAAGCTTTTCTTGTTTATGTTGGATATTTTGTCTTTAAGGAATTGAAAGTGTTATTTTCAGGTCAGCCAACCTTTGAATAGGCTGGAGACCCATCTATATTATTGTTATTAAATCTTCGAAGAAGTTATGGTTGCTCATCCATGCACTGAGTTGAGCTAATTTGCCAATTACTAGCAAAAATTATCCAAGTTTTGTGCCTGCACGGGGAAGTTGATGAAATTAAAGAAAGTTAAATTTTACTTTTCCCAATTTCATAGGTGTCAATGCACTGTGAAAAATGGGTGATGAAGTTGTGAATGAGAGGTTACAAAAATAATGATGTTTTCATCTATCGGATCTTTATGAAAAACTAGCGTTTTTTTTTAAGTTCTTCAGGCAGCGTGAGTCATGGTTATTTTAATTTTTGTTGGTGGGAAATCATTGAGGCTTAAAAAAGCAAATTATCAAGCCATTCTCTTGGGCAATATAAGTTTATCATGCTTAAGTAAGTTCAGGCTACGCAATGAGTTATTTTTATTTCTCTTTAAGGATCTGATCATTGTATGTCTCTATTGGTCCTTAGCAACTTGAGATGAATGTTATTATTATTACTGCTTCTAAGTAGTAAATCCACATCATTTTCCTTCAATTTTGTGATTATTTTCAGCTGTCGCACAACATCATGTTTACCACTGAGGGACAGTCCATTTCCAGTCTTGGAATGGGCAGATCACAAGGAGCTATGGCGTCTAATGTGTTCAAAAGATGAATCCACTCTATCGCAAAGAGATCCCAACATGTTCGATCATCACCCTAGCCTTCTACCTCGTATGAGGGCAGTCCTTTTGGATTGGATTAATGAGGTATGTTCAGCAATTATCTTTTACAGCGCTCACGCTTCCTTCGTTGGCTTTTGATGAGTCTATCAGTGTCAAAATTCCTTAAAATTTACCCACTTTTGACCCATAAATTCATGGAAAAGTAGAACATTAACCAAGAAAAACAGTGAGCTCCTCTTTTGTCTAGACTCGAGACTCAAGAGTCTCTAAAGAAGAGGGATCTGGAAGAAGGGTCCAAACTAGTTGAGGGATGCTCTTTTTCCCACCACCTCAATGAGGAGGAGCATAGCTAAGACAGTAGGCTCCATGCTCGGCTGAATAAAGACGCGATTCCGCTGGTCGACGCATACGCCCGCTGAAATTCGCCTACGCACGCCCAGTGGAATCGCGCCTTAAGGCAGGCGGAAGGAACGAACTTTCCTATGTTATATAAGCTGTTCCTTCAGAGCCACCCTCAAATTGTCTTATTAATTTGAGAAATTTCCAAAAATATGGTTCAAAGAAACCAACAGATCTTGAGGTTCGGCATTATGCCTAAACTTGTTTCACGCTCTTATCCTTTTTCCAATAAACTTCTCAGTTTTTAAAACAGAAACCACCTGTCATTTTTAGGAACCACGGTTGTAGAATCGTAAGAAGAGTTGTGCTAATACTATGTTTCTATGCTCATTTTAGGTGTGTGAAGTATACAAATTACATAGAGAGACGTTCTATTTAACAGTAGATTATTTAGATAGATATCTGTCTGCAAGAGAAGGAGTCCCAAAACAACAGCTACAATTAATAGGCATAACGTGTCTTCTCATTGCATCAAAGATGGAAGAAATTTATCCCCCTAAAGTTTCCGAGTATGCCTATGTTACCGATGGTGCCTGTACAGAGTCTGAAATCCATGCCATGGAGTTGTCTATTCTCAAAGTAAGTACTCTTTGTATTTATTTATAACAATAATTAAAACCTCACAAAAATGTGTAATCAAGGTGTAAAAATCCAGATGTTATGAAGGCCAGGGACATTTTGAGGTCTTTAAAACCCCATTTTCAACTAGACAAAATTAAGAAAATTGAAAAGAAGTAAACACTAACACCTGAGAATCACAATCCAGAGTGAAAATTGTAACAAAAGTCTTTTAGTAACATCAAGGCGATCTTTGAAGTGCAGCTGTAGCTGGCCTCTGGTGGATACGCTTAGTAACTCTCCGGTGACTCAACTCTGAAGAATTACGAGAGAGTCACACATTTATCCGAATTGAGTCAACCGTGGAGGCATTTTTTATTAGTTTTTAACTTTTAATCAAAGCAGTTTTTTTTAGCAGTTCTCTGTATCTCTAGTTATTCTGAAAATCTTTGTTAAGAAATACTGCCTCTCAATATTACCACATTTTCCTCCATTCATAAGGTAATGGCATAATGTTTAGTTGTCGCTCCATCAAATTTAAATGTTTAATAAAACTTGATTCCGAATTTGATCCCAGCATCATTCTAACATCTTGTTTCTGTCTCTTTTTTCAGGTGTTGCATTGGTGCCTTTCTCCATTCACAATTCACAACTGGTTGTCTGTGTATTTACAGTTATGTTATCAGGGCAATGAGCGGCACAACCTTGGCTTTGTCTATTCGCAGTTCTCGCCTGCCCTCTTTTCCCAGCTGTGCCAGCTAGTTGATCTAGCAACTCTAGATATAAACTCCCTTAAATTTTCTTATAGTGTCATTGCAATTTCGGCTGTTTATCTTGTTTGCAGTGAACAGCTGGCTCTTCACGTATCAGGTAAGTCCATTACTTAGACTTCCCTTGAAAATCTTCAAGCCATCTTGTTTTGTTAAATCTGTTCATTAACTTTTGTCTCGGAGGATTGAGTAACTCAAAAAAGTATTTAAGGCTCCTCTTTCTCAATACGGTCAAATTATCGGACAGTTTTGGTCAATTTTTGTAGATTTCATTTGGTACATATTGCTCTTCCCTCTGCTGCGCTGAGTAAAAACCCAGGAACCCCACTCCAGATTTTGAAAATCCTTCGACACTACGCTCTGTGGAAAGAAACCCAGAGTATGAGCATTTTTTATACTCAGCATGTATACTCCATATCCTGCAGTATTTCTTGTGACAATAATATTTTATGTAGGTATATCTGCCTTGTCCAAGGATAGCGGATCTCTACCTTTTTAGCTTGCTGACCCTCTGAGTCCTAGTTGGATATTTCTTGGCACCTCTTCAATGCCTTTTCCTTTTCTTACCTGTGAGACATGTGTTATAGTCTTGAAAGAATGTACATTGTAATACATTGAGACACAAATCTCTTAGTTCGTAGCGTTTGTGCTAAGGTTTAATAAGGCACTGAAAATGTGGCGCATATTTTTCTTCACGTTGCCTTGTTCTCCTGCTCACGAACAGTAGATTATTTTTTTAAATCCTTTTATTAAATTTATTTTACTTATGCCCCCTCGATGCCCACTGCAGTTGAGAGGCTTTGTCAAAGGGTATTATGTCCGAAAAAGGTTTGCTAAGTCTGGAATGGAGAACTGTGGTTCTTGCTTAAGAAAGCAGCCCCCCCCCCCTCCCCGATTCAGCTAAACTGGAGAATCCTTAAAATAATGATTGAATTTTGAAAGGTAGCACTGTCACTCAGTTGTGTAGCATGAGTTCTGCGAGTTTTTGTGATTGCACAACTTTTGCTGTCAATTTTTTAACCAGAAAATGTTATCTTTTGGAAAAGATACTATCAAATTTTTGAACCATATCGTTGCTCAATTTATTTTGCAGCAATTTTTAGAAGTATGAAAATGACACCTTTTCTTCATTGGCTAATCATCTTCCATCAATATGTCTGTGTAATGTTAACCGCTTAATTCCTGCTAATTTCAGGTTTTAACTATTCTTTTATATCGGATTGTGTGGACTGGATGAGGGATTTCTGGAATGTCTTATTGGAAGAGAATCCTGGAGGTCGGATGGATGCCACCTCTACAGCACTTCCGCCAGGCCCCAATAAAGTCAGTGCTTTTGATCTTACGCACACCTTACAAACTCACTCCGTCACCCTAGAAATGCTGGTATGTAATTCATTTTGGTGCTGTCAGTTTCATTTATTTTCATTATTGTTGTTCAGTGAGTAGGACAACATCAGGGTCTTAAAAGTACTTTTGTAGTAAACTTCGGAGTTTGAACTTCAAACTGATTTTAATTCAGAAGTCCCAAGACAGGGTAACAAGTCCTTGAAAAGTTAGGGCCGTGAAAGACGGTGAGGTGTGCTGTGATACCTTGAAATTTTTTCTTCCAGCAGAAACATTGCATTTTTTTATTTCAAGAGACATAGTGCCTAAAATTTTGTGTGAAAATAATTTTCATGAGGGATCATGCCAAGAAAAAGACAATGAAAAGTCAGGGAATTCATGTTGAAAATCTGGCAAATGTCTGAGAATTTTGAAATCCAGGAACTCTTGTCATCCTGATAAAACACTTAATGTTGCCTGAGATATTCCTCGCATTTTGTGTGCGATACAGTCCGTGCAGTGGTCTTATTTCTAAAGTAAGCACCACAGTGCCAGGGATGTTACTCCTCGGAAATCTTTGAACAAAACTTGCTGTGTTACATGTTAAAAATACAACATTAGCAGTGTTCCAAACTTATTCTTGAGTTTTTGGAGCTATGTGGCCCACCAAACTCGATTTTTAGGGGCTGAATTGACTTTTTTCCTATATAGTTGGTGCATTTCCGGAAGAGTTAGACCCAAGATGTTTTAGTTACCGAACTAGAAGCTGTAACTTCGGGAAGACGAAAGCATTAAGAATAAAATTTTGAATAACAGAAAAAGCTTTTCCTTGTAATACTGAAAGTTCTAGGTTCTCTCAATACAAAATTTTTTTTTCCTCTTTCTTTTTAATCATGTGACTTTTTTGCTAGTTCAATTGGATACTGTGTGTCGACATTTTGAAAAATCTTGTAACAGAAAAATTAGGATATCTTGGGGACAATTTAAGGGGCAGAGCGTTCATTTTATAGGTACGTTGGCGTCTGTGGGTTTTGAACACTGAACATGAGATTTTTTTTCTGAGCTCTGCAACAGATCATTTTACACGTTTTATTCTAGTAGTCGTGAAAGTAGCCGAAAGTACCACTAGTAGCTAATTAAGTAAGCCAAAAACAACGCCTTTTGTTGGAAAAAGGAATAGTTGTTACAATGATAAGAATTCGTTATGAACTTAGCTGAGAGTTGAGGCTAGCATTGCTATTACAGAAATGAATGAGAATCTTGATTTTGCATCAAGGTTGGTAATATTTAATGTTGTGCAATGTATTAACCCCGCTGCAAAGAACATACTGTAAGTAGACTTCTCATAAATTTTCCATTTTGAAGATAATTGATTATTATGAAGACTATAGCAGGTAGTCGTTCAAGTTTTCACTAACTCTAAAATGAGCATCCCCAGCCATTGCATCACTTGGTCCAAAAAGTCATTCATTTTAGAGTTTGACCAAAACTTCACTGAGAATTTTTCCAGAAAAAAAAAAAAAAAAAGCTTTCCACAGTGTGTATGATAACTTTTTGGTATATGTTCTCACTTCAATGAATGCACATCGATTGTAATAGTGAATTTAAAATTGTTCCATGTTGCCACTTATGAAGCGAAAGTCTCTTATAGCATAACTGGACTGTGTCAGTGCGAAAGGAATTTAGCGCACGAATAATTCTGTGAAATGTTTCGTGTGCACAGAGAAATTAATTGCAGATGAGAGAGGGGAAGGGAGGGGGGGTTGTGTGTAGTTAGCTCTTATTCGATAAACAAAATCTGATTAATCTCTCATCTAAAAAGGCGTCAGTACTTCAAGTCTTTCATTTTTTTTCAACCATTATTTTTTCACTGTTTTTAGGAATCTGGTCAAGCAAGACAAGAAGCAAGAATCAGAGAGAAACTCAGCAAAGCCAGCCCGTTGGTGGTAACAGCAAATTTGAATTTGTTAACCCCTCCTTCTAGTTCCAAGAAAGCTTGAACATTGTCCTGCTTATGGCTGGGCCTCTGCGTTCCTGTTCTCGGTTTCCTCTACCAGGTATTAGTGGTACTTTTTTTCCCTCTTCATCTTGAATTCTTCTCTTGATTGGCAACCCTTATGTGCGGATTGATTTTGCGTATGATACCTTGTGTACAAAGTTACGTTGTTTCGAATTTTATTCTGCGGTACCAGGGGAACTTGTTTCAGATATTTCATTCTGTTAATTTCAGATAACTAGTTTTTAAGGAGGTGTGCAACCCTTATTCTTTGTCCTCTGTACCTTTTAAATACGTTTTCATTATACATTTAAGGCATCGCGTGGGGAAAGGGCCCTTTTTTGTGTTAAATATCTATGGAACAGTGCCTTTTTCACACCAATCACCTAAATTTCCGAAAAAAGCAAATTTCAGTCTATGCTATTACTACGGAGCGTGCCATCCTCATAAAGAGGTTTTTTAATAAGTAACTGTCTTTTTATTTTAAACCTTTGACAATAGTTTTATTCTTAAGATGTGGCTGTTCAAAATAATCTTGTTAAGATGATAGTTAAATAATATGAGTAACAGCATTGTTTGCTGGTATAAAAATGGCCTTATTGTAAAGAGGCAAAACATTAGGGACCTGATAAACATGAGGGAAATAGTTTCCTCAGCATGATGCATGAATGCCACAACTGTTGTAAACTTGCTCCACTTTGCCCTTTGTATCCTAGGAAATTAAGCTTACAAACTCGTTAAATTAAAGAACATGCTGCACACCTCCAAATTTGCAATTTTATTTCTTCTAGGTATTAGTCAATTGTTGTAAATACTGTAAAGCGTTATTTCAAAATATTACCGTTGATATTTCCCAGAAAGTGTTAAATTTCATCGTTCAAGTTGATTTGAAAAAAAAATTTAGTATGAAATTTTTTATCTATTCGTTCTTTTACTGTTAAGACTTACTCCTGAGAGTATTCTCAGACTTGTCGTTTTTTAGTCTCTCAGCGTTTCTTCAAGGTAGAGATTGTTAGGAATATTTTTCTTCTTAATTCTTTCTAACCTGTATTTGGGTTTGCCTGAATTGATGGTTCATTGTGGAACTGTAATGTACTGTTCTTGATTTTAGGAAGTTTCTACATGTACAGAATAAAGTAATTTACTTGATGGAGAACCTGCAGCGGAAGACATTCTTGTCCTCGTTTCATGTCACTCCATCAGATTTTAGATTTTTTCCCTTTTCTTCACACTGACTGTTTTTCTCTTTCTAGTGTCTTGCTTTATTTGAAAACAGGACAAGAGATCCCCCTCCCCCCCCAACTTAAAAGAATATTTTGACTTGACTCCAGTCAATGAGTCTGTTCAATAATTTTTAATTGTTGCATTTTTGGAGAGTTGAAAATGTATTTACGCAGGAATTTTCCTGGATTTTTCTTATTAATACTAACCCACAAAAACAAGTTCTAAGTTGTGTATTTTGAGCTTCCATCTAACTGTATCGCCATGATGACTTCTGTCAATATCCATCTTGCCGCAGCCACAATCCCAATTACGCATTGTCTCTGTGAAGATCCATGGTGTGAGTAGTTTTTATGAATGCATGGCTAAGCAGACTTTTATTTGCAGCAGAGGCAACACTTGATCGAGATTGTGGCCGAGAGGTATATTTTCAGACACATCTTGGCCTCTCGGTGATTCTTAATATCAAAATGAAGATAATTTGATGAATTTCTGTAATTTTGGTCAGGAAATCTTACTCCTTAAACTCTGTAGACTTTTTGGATGTCCCCGAAGGAAAAGCTCAATTGCCTAAGTAATCTGTACGAACAACAAAGCTTTTACTGTACAGTTAAATTTGTTAATTTACTCATACTTTGAAGATGTATCTTAATAATGCCTCATTTATACTATCACGTCTCATTCATCAGAAATAACTTAGCAATTTGTTCTCCTCCAAGATCAAGTACATGGAGCAATCTACCAACTTATTTACATCATTTGTGTTCTGTCCCACTGTCATGTGAGATTCCTCTACATATCAATCAGATTTATTCCAAGCATTAAATAGTTACATTCCTTTCCGTCTATAAAAAAAATTTCTCTACCTTTTTTTTTTTTATTTATTGGAAATGGTGATATTGATAAGTCTATAAACTTAAAATGATAATTTTTTCGTAATATTATATCTAAAGACTGCATCAAAATGTAAATATTTGCTCATTTTAAGCACAAAGTGTCTGTTATGCAACTAGAATTTTATTTTTTACACTGGTCTGCAGGTGGCCAATGAATTGAAAAATGTATGTCTGAACTCCCTGTATCTGAAGTCATGTTAGGTAATAATAGGTCTTGCAAGTTCTAGCATTCTCTCTGTCTTTTTTTAGACTCTTCAGTTGAATTTCCAGTTGAAATAGTTCGAGGCTTTAGTTAAGTTTTTGACTCACTGCTCACTCTCTTTACAACTAAATAAAATTTCCTCCATGTTCCAAGCAAATACAACTTGGATCTCCAATGTTAGTAACTGTGAGCACAGCATCTAAAATTTTTGACCCACCTCCTGAGGTGCAAACTTCTACTGGTATCAAGCCCTAGATTACGATCCTTCAATGTAATCCTTCGTAGTCCGTAAATGTGTCCATCACGTCAAAAAGTGAACTGAATCCTCTTGCAGAAATTCGACTGTTTTTCACATAGTTAACTTTACTATACAGGTAAATATCTGTATAAACGGGATCATTTTCAAATTGGCTTTGAAAATTAACTAATTGTTGTGATAAACCTCACTATTTTGCCCTTGTGTCTTTACCTACCATTTTCTCTCCTCTCTGGTTTATATCCTACCAGAGGGAAGATTGATAGCTAGACTAAAGAGATTATATTTTGAAAATTTTCAACTGAAGTGGGGGATGAAGTTGTAAAATGAATTTTGCTCAATTATGAAAGTATCCAAGATCGTTGCTTTTCAAGACAGATATCAAGTTAGGTATGGGTATTTTTGATGTTATTTCCTAGTATGACTGATTGAATATTTTAATGCTATTTGGATCTTCCATCTTTAAATTGTGAATTTCTTCTTTATGGAGCTAAATTTACATGATTTTGTTTATGAACTGATTTGAGACTGATAAAACATATCCCTCTGCTTTGTTGCTAGATGGTTTCCAATTCACACTGTATCAAATTCTCTAATATATATTAAAATTTAAGATAATATTTCCACCAACCTTTTTTGATCTCACTCTCAGTTCGGTTTGCTATTTGGTTCAGATGATCTCAGCCTTACATTGTCTTTCTCTTCAATGAAAAGCGTTCAGTGCCCTGAAGGCCCATACTTGCTTTTTTTTTTTTAGTCTATTTGTAAAATGGTAATAAATTTAAATAAATGAGAACTTCAAGAAACCTAGCAAGTTTGTTTCTGTGAAACCAAGCAGTCTTGAAGTATAAATTGGTCTGAAAATTTGGAGGCACACATTTTTGTCTTCCTTCATGAATACATAGTTGTATCACTTTAGTAAATTCCCCCTTTCAGGATGATATTTCAATTTAAAAATTTTGAAATGAATCCCCTCTAAGAAATGTTAGTCGCAAATATTTTAGTAGATAATTATTTTACTAGAGACCAGGGTGATCACTTTTGAGGTGCCACCATGGTTTTTACTTTCTTTTCTTTTTTTCATTTTGATTGTTGTTCTAAAAAATTCAAAAGTCTGATGAATATTTATGTCAGTGTGTTTCAAAGGCCTTATATTAGATACTTATTAATCATTAGTACTCCCTTATTGTACGTTTCTACATCTGCCATCCCCATAAATAGTAGGAAATGAGATGAGTTCAAATTATCATTCATTTTTGTCCCTAGAAACGTACCAGTTGTCTTCCTAATTAGTTACATTCTGCCCTATTAACAGTGCCCTTTTCTGCCCTGTCTGGGCGACTCGATTACTTTTGCAAATGATAGATCATAGAGCAGTACAACGCAAACTGTTATGATGGATATAAGAAGTGTATGTCATGCACCATGTTGTGACCCAAAAAAATTTCGCCCCCCTACTTTTTAATTTTCTCCGACTACCGAATTTTTATGACCTCAAAATGTAAAACTCCTCTCTTTTGTCATCCTACATTGTCAGGGTATTTAGTCTCAACAATTTTTTTGTTTGTATTTATTTGATTTTTGCCATCTGATTTCATCAGTTTATTTTCTTACTTCAATAACCATTCTTAATTCAGTTGCTTAGTCAGTAACTTTCGCATCAAATTAAGTTTTTCGAGAGAAATGTGTGTTGTTCCATTCAGTTAATTTTGAATGTACAAAATAGTTTATCCTGTTCTGTGGAGAATTGATTTTTTAATCCTTTTCATTTACTTTCAATCAACGTTTCTCAACCGTTCATGTGAGGTACCGTTGTCAGCCCTCTGTAACAGTGTAATTTTAAGCGAATTGAGGCTGTTAGTTTCAAGGGTTATTTTCACACTCTGCCTTTGATTAGTCAAAATTGGTTCTTGCTGTTGCACAATTGTTAGATATTGAATAGCTTATCGATCAGTCATGTAAAATTCAAGCAAGAACTAATTTATAATGGACTTAAAGGTATATAAAAGCATTCATGGTTCGAATTGTTAATTTTTAATAGTCTTCAGTAAGAGCCTTTTATATCCTCTCTAGCCTTTTCTCTCCCTAAATGAATCTTGCACCTAATAGACACCAGTGAATATCCATTTTTTAGATTTCCTTGATAACTCTTTCATTTAGCTATGAGAATTCATACTAAAAAAAAATAAAGCAATACCAATGTTCAGTTTATCTTATTTTAGAGCATTGTGTAAAAAAAGAGAAAAAAAAGAAAACTAAAATAAAAATGTTTGGAGTTCTCGTTTTCTCCAGTAGCACCAGATGGTATTTATTTCTCAAACACTTTGTGAAAAGCATTCTGCTAAGAGTTAGGGTGAGAATAAATAGCCAAAACAACTGCCTGTTTTTGTAACAATAGGTTATGGATTTATTTTATTATCATTGAGAAAAACATTAATAATATGCTAACACATTTTGGTATCAACCGTAGTACCATGAATGAAGTAGAAAAGTAGACACAGAGTTGCTTGCAATGAACCAGTTCTGTAAAACAAATTACAGGATCATCCATAGAATTGAACATATGTTATTAAACGCTCGGGGCTAATTAATTCACTAGCAGTGAAAATGAAGGAACTACTCAGAAACTGCCATGTGTTTTGTTTAAACATAGAAAGTATCTGTCAATGAAAAGTCAGGAATTACAAGAGAGTGTACATGCATCATGAGGTGGCAAGTAGTATTTTCCAGAATCTATAAATACTGAGAGATGAATCTAATAATAAAAAGTGATTAGTAAAGAAAAATGGCGCTTCTCTAGAAGACCACATTTCTGAGAAACATCATGATGAAGTGGTATGAATTTATCTACAGATTGCATATGCAACATCAGATTACGTTAGCATATTATCTGTAGTAAATATTAAAGTAAATCCTTAACCTTTTGTAATGAAAATAGGCAGTATTTAGCCACGCACTTTCACTGAATTATCTTTGTAACTTGGAGTCTAAAAGAATCGCATAAATCTACTTCGTTCAGGTGTGTCTGCTCAACTTGTGCTTTTATGTTTACCTCAGAAATATATTTTGATGGTTTTAACGGAAATCAGCCTAATCGCTTCTTACACTGCCTAATTTTCTCTTATGTTCAATTTTGTTAGCAGGGAACTAAGCTGCTTTACATCTTTGAAATTTCTGTGACTGTATTCTAGATTATAGAAATTATACTCACAAAATTTCAAGTTTTGTTTGATTAATTTTCTGTTGAAAAATAAAACATCAAAGAAAATTAAGTAACAGCTCATGGAGTTGGGCCAATCCTGGATAAATCCATAAATGTATATTCCTGCTGTTAGGTTCAAATTTAGAAAAATCGTCATAGACTGACCTCCTCTATCCGCATTTTACTCTCCGTTGAAACTCTGATATATTTTTATCGTATTTTTGTTTCATTTATTCGTGTATCTTACTTTTGTATCTTATTTATTTTATTTTTTTTTTCAATCTAGTCTTAGATGGTTAGGATTCTAGTATCTCGCGTAGTGTACCTAATTTTAAATGCTTTTTATAAATTTTATGGAGCGGTTGTAAATATTTGATGGACCCATTAAAATGTAAAATGGGGAATAAAAAGAAAAATCATTCAATTAGCCCAACTGCGTGCATGTCTTTTTCAATGTAGCTGTGAATTCATTCCGTAAATGTTAAACTAAAAACATCCTACCACAAAGAGTGTCTTCAGTCTTATGTTGAATCAAAAAAGGGTCCTCCCCATGTTTTGTTGCCTTCATTTGGCAGTGGAATGTAATTTTTATGAAAATACACTTCTATAATCCAATGTCAGATGCTGTTACTGAAGTCAGCCCTATGGGAAATGAGAGAAGTTCGACTGAACACTCAGTAAATTGTGAACTCCCAAATCAAGCAATTTTCAATTAAACGTTTAGTTGTACATATCAGCTCCAACAAGTTTTCTGCTAACATTCCAGCATGCAAAATGCTGATGAATCCAAGAGTTTAAAGTTGTCAATTTTGCAATTGACAACATTTGCTCGTGAAATTGCCTTCATTTTTTCACTTGCTTCATTCGTGATTGGCGTGCCTAATATTCTCGTTTTCTCTCAAAATATGTCAATCTGTTTTATACATCTTAGCCTGTCTAAAATTTCAGTCTATTTTTGTGCCTGGAAATGTATGCATGCACCGAAGTTTGTAAAGCCTCAGAACTGAGCATAGATGCAGAAGTTTTGAAAGTATCAAGTTTAACTTTTAAGTAGTGTGTATGAAATGGGGATTAGGTATCACATTTGTGTTTGACACTTTATTGTTGGGGTGATCGCACCATTTGGAACTAGTTGGGATTTATTATTTATTTTTGGAAATTGTTCACAGAACTGTTCAATGTGTGCTTACTCGGAACCATATTGAATTGTTTTGATCAGAGAGCACCTCAAGCCATTATTAAGAGCTACATAGTCTATTTATCTGTTCGTTAAATGCAAGTTAAATATTAGCTTTCTGATTTAATATTTATCTTTTCCCTGTTGTTTTAATTTTAAGTCGGAATAATGCTTTATCTCAGTTAAATCACTCTTTGAGTGAAAAGAGAGGAAGTTCGATAGTAAGGATGAGCATAAATGAAACTTGAATGTAGAATGTTTCTTTGATATCTTGTATGATATGAAAAGTATAAAAAGTGGAATGTAAGCGCACAAAGAAAATTATGAAATGAGGTAAATATTGACCGACTCAAACCATACATTTATTAAAATGTTGTCTTTCCTTGATTTTAATAAATTCATTGTAATTAAAATAAATGCATCTGTATTTTTCCAATGAATCCAGTTTTTTGTTATTTTTTTCACCCATAAAATCGAGCAAAATAAAAAATCTTGCAAAGAAAGATCATGAAGACGAAGTTTAGCAGGAGAGAACCATTCTGTCTCAAATTGACTCTGAGAAAAAGAGGCATAACGTTTTTATCCCTTTGAGCCCTCTGTGTTAAAGAAACTTTTAGCCATTATTCTCATGCCCTACTTATTTCTATCTTGATCTGTACATTTTGAAAAAGTGAGTTGAATGTTGGGCTTAAAACTTAATTTTCCTTAAGTAAAGACTGTTTTTCCTCCCGCCAATCTTAATGTTGTATCTTCAGCTAATATTATTGCAGCTGAATGATCATTTTTATTTTATCAAGTTGGATCATTTTACGGGTTCCCTTGTTTTCTATGTATCTATTTTATTTTCCAATTTATGCTGGGATCAACTAAGCAAGAAGCCTAGACTAAAAACTTACAAGACAGTTAAAAGCATGGTAATTTTACTTACTTCTTGAAGCAATTTCGGCAGCTAGCTCCTTATATTCTACCTGATCCCTAATTCTATAAAATCCATTCTTTCATTTAATCAATTGATATTTTTAATTTAAGTTGAGACACCATTTCTGAGGAATCCCAAAACTCACAGGGCAGTAGGCTCACGTATTAATGGTAGGTGTGAAAACTTCTTTGCACAGAGAAGAAAAATTACGGAAGTTTTCAAGAATTGAGGGGCTTGAAGGATGAGGCACATAAGTGCAGTGTTTGCAATTTTGAGAAGTAGGTACGTGATGAAAGTTTCGAAATCACATGGATCCTTTTGGCGGAAAGACTGTCCAAACTGACTTCTTGATGCTTAAAAGTTGGAATTTGGAAGCAACTTTTTCACAGAATATGCACCAAGACTAGTTTTACTTAAAATCATTAATATCTCAATTTTTAAAACACCGCACTTATTATGCGCTTTGTCCTCCAAGCCCCTCAATTTACATTGAGTAGTTTACCACTCAGGAAATTAGGAATAACAGGAAGTCTGCAACGTTGCAAACCGAGATATGCGGTCATAGGCGTAACTAGGTCATTTGCTTAGGGGGGAGGGGGGCTCTTACCACGGTTGGTATCGCTTTGCCCAGTTCAGGGAGGCCTCTCCCGGAAAATTGTTGAAATTTTAAATCTATTTTAAGGCTTCCGTGGCGCGGATTTTCCATCAATTTTTGCGGGAAAATTGCGGTTTTTTAATGTCAGCACAATATAGGTACTTTCGAATCATTGCATTCAATACATCCAACAATTCTGTGATATTTTAATCTATCTGTATGCATTTTGAGGCTTCTATGACGAAAATTTTAGGAATTCCTAACTGAATGAACACGTTGTTCTCATTCAATTTCTAAAATTCTACATTCAAAGAGATAACCACTCTCGAAGAAGTTTTTTCCCACCACTTAGAACAGTGGCGTAGACATGGGGGGGGGGGGGG